TGAGCCATCTCACCAGCCCCAGGAAATACATCTTAAAAGGATATAGTGCTGTTGATGGTGATTCCTCTGACAGATGTGGGCAAAGTAAGTTGAACACCTTCTGGAAGGATTCACTATTGTTGATATCATTAAGAATATTTAAAATTTATGGGCATAGTTCAAAATGTCAGCATTACCAGGAGTTTGGAAGGAGTTTATTCCAGCTCTTGTGGATAATTTTGAAGGATTCAAGACTTCATGAGGCAAGGTAACTACAGGGAACCATAATATAATGAATATTTTAGAAAAGGGATTTTGAATGTTTTCACTGTAAAGAAATGATTAAGGAAATATTTTTGCTTTGATTTCAACATTATAGATACTTATATGTATCAAAACATCACATGCAGGGGGCCGGGAAATTGGTTCAGTAGAATAAGTGTGTCTTAGTTACTCTTCTCTCGTTGCTGGGACAAATGCCTGACACCCAAAATGAAGGAAGGAAAGGTTTCTTTAGCTCAGTTACTGGAGTCCTCAGTCCACGCTCCGCTGGCTCCAAGGCAGAGCGGCACACAGCAGAGGGCAACCTTTCAGGGCGGCAGCAAAGAGCAAGAGCACAGGGAGAGGTAGCAGCAGCTCAAGCAGCTGGCTGCTCTTCCCACCTTACATTGTAATGCAAATTACCTGCCCCAGGGCAGGTGTATCAGCCACACCACCAACAATCAATCACAAACTCCAGAAGCCACCCCAAGACCGCATGAGGCTTTGGGGGACACCTAGACACAAACCATAACATTCCACCCCAGGGCCTCCAAAGACCCATGCAGATCCCTTTATGCAAAAGCCATTCTAGTCCATCTCTTTGTTACCAAAGTCCCAACAGTTTCAGCATTGCTGAAGAGTCCAAGTCCCAAGTCTCCTGCAAGATCCAAGGCAAACTCAGCTGTGAACCCCTGCACAAAAGAAAAATTAAACACATCCAACATTCAAAGGCACAAGATAAACATTACCATTCCAAAAGGTACACATAGCAGGATACCAAGCATTGGGACCACAGCAAGTCCAAAATCCTGCAGTTCCATGTGGGACATCCGAAGCAGTCTGTGGCAAATTGTGAGCTCCATGAGGCTCCGCCCCTGTGGCCCGCTTGGTGGTAGCTCCCATGGCTTCTCTCAGACTGGCTTTGCTCCCTCCTTGCAGTTTCTCTTAGACCATCCACATTCCTGGCTTTTCCAAACTTCTGGGGTTTCCACTGAATAGGCTTCTCACTCACAGCTTCACACACTGCCCTCCCAGAGGCACACCGCCTGGCCTCCCAGGCCTTCTGAAATCGAGGTGGAAGCCTTCTTAACCTCAGAACTCCTGCATCCTGCATATGCCTAAAACCAATGCCACGTGGATGATGCCAAGGTCTGCTGCCAGCTGGAACAGTAGCCAGGTTTCCTTCTCTCTTGGCTGTAGGGGTCGAGTGCCTGGATTGCTGAGTACCCTAACCCTGATTCCGAGGAATGATTTCTCCACACCGGCGCCATTCTGGAACCTGGGGATCAGCGGCTTTCCCCTCAAGGCACAGTCCCTGACCTTTGCAGTTCTGAGGCTGCCAAGGGTGGAGACCCACCTCCTCTGTGAGGCCCTCAGGCCATCCTTTCCATTCTCAGGTTCCTTTCCAGCAATGGAGATCCTCTCAGCTCCATCTTTGCAGTCCACAGCTTTATTGGTGCTTTCTTTCTGGCCAAGCTCACAACATTTTAAATCCTCCTGCTGGGCTCCTTGCTCGTTATTCTCAACATAAATCTGGCTAAACGCCCCCAGCAACAACCAGACCACTGCCCCAATATTTGGCTGCTTTGCAATATCTTTTGCCAGATTAATCAGTCCACCGTGCTTAAACTCAGTCTCAGGCAAAGTCTCTGGACATGAGCAAAATGCAGACAGCTCTTCTGCCACTTCAAAACACAAGTGATCTGGAGTCCAACAGCCAATGCAGTCCTTCCCAGCAGAAACCTCCCCAGCCTGGTCTTCACAGGCCAGCTTTCCATCAGCCTTCTGGTTTCTGAGCTCTGACCAGAATCTCCCAAACAGAACAACCAAAGCTATTCCAGTGCTTTGCTTGTAGGTGACATCTCCGAACCTTTCCTATCTCTTCCCATAAGCCATTCCCAAAAGCTTGTAATCCACATGGTCAGGTTTATCCACAGCAACAACCCCACTCCTGGTACCAAATTCTGTCTTAGTTACTCTTCTCTCATTGCTGGGACAAATACCCGACACTCAAAATGAGGGAAGGAAAGGTTTATTTAGCTCACAATTACTGGAGGTTTCAGTAAATACTCAGCTGGCTCCAAGGCAGAGCAGCACACAGCAGAGGGCAACCTTTCAGGGCGGCAGCAAAGAGCAAGAGTGCACAGAGAGTAGCAGCAGCTCAAGCAACTAACTTCTCTTCCTGCCTTACATTGTAATGCAAATTACCTGCCCCAGGGCAGGTGCAGCAACCACACCTACAGTAATCAATCACAAACTCTGGAAGCCCCCCCCAAGACTGCATGAGGCTTTGGGGGGACACCTAGACACAAACCATAACAAAGTACTTACCTGGCAAGTGCAAGGGCCTGAGTTCAATTCTTGGTTCTAAAAAAAAAAAAAAAAAAAAGTCACATGGAACTCCACAAATATATGCAGTTTCTATATGTCAAGTAATTTTTTGAGCCAGCTCTTGCCATGTTGTTCATGCTGCCCTTGAATTAATTGTGTAACTCAAGTTGGCCTCAATCCTCTTGCCTCAACCTCCTGAGTGCTAGTATTATAGGTGTGTGCCACCACAACCCCCATGTCAATTAAAATTTTATGTATTTATTTATTTACTGATACTGGGGATCGAACTTTGACCTTGCTCTTACCAGGCATGCCCTTATGCTGCTGAGCTATATCCCTGGCCCATCAATTCCAAATGTTGAAAACATGTTAGAGGAAATAATTGTAGCTGTAGAGGAAATACGAAGAGAGCTAGAATTAGAAGTGGCGTGTGAGGTGACCTGATTATTGTACTTTTACGGTAAAACTTTTTACCAAATTAGGAGTGACTTCTTACATATAGATGAGCAAACAGCAAGTTTCTTGAAGCAGAGTCTATTCCCAGTGAAGGTGCAATGAACAAGAGTCTTTTGGCTAGGAATTTGTGGCGCAGCATACAGTCTTATCAGTAATCTACATCCCCAGGCCAAAATGCTTTGTTGGTTTGTTTTTGCCTTTGGTGTCTGGGATTGAGTCCAGGGCTGTAAGCATCTGCACAACCAGAGTTACAGCCCCAGAAATAAAGTTGACTTTGTGCTTAGGCTGGCCTGGGTCACTGGGCTCCAGTGACCCTCTGGCTTCGCATTTTGACAGCTGTTCTTGCATGTGTGCACGCTGCACCCAGCTCAAAAAGTTTTGTTTTGTTTTGTTTGTACTGGGAGTTGAACTCAGGATCTTAAGCTTGCCAGGCAAGCACTTGTGCCACTGAACTATATTCCCAGCCCAATAAAATATTTTTTAATTATAGTAGATATATTGTTCTTTTAACTATAACGCTAGCGTACATAATAGACTACAGCATAGCGTAAACATAACTTGTATGTAAAGGGAAACCCAAAACCTTGTGTGATTATTTCACTTTCTGAAATAATTCACTTTATTACAGTAGTCTGGGTTCAGCCTTCTCCCAGGTGTGTCTGTATATGCTGAACAACATTTATAGTATAAATGTAAATGTTTATTGATTTATTAAATCAAGATGAGCAAAATAAACACACAAAGGTTATAAAATATCAAAATTCTTTCAATGCCTAAATTTAATGGAAAAGTGGCCGTATGCTTTTATTACATTAAAAAAAATGAAGGCAACCCCCACGTGAGACAAAAATGGCACTTTTGGAGTTAAATACTTATTAGGATCAAAAGTAGTAAAGTGAAGGGCCCACCAGATAGCTCAGCAGAATGAGGCAGAGTGCAGCGGCTGAGGTTTGATCCCAGCACGCTCTGTGCCGGCCCTGCTCCCTAGGGCGCACAGAGACAGTGATTGAGGCTTGGGAGCCTGATACCAGGAGAATCGCTATGAGTCCTGTCTATGTAGTGACACCCTGTAGACCGTGTACCAAATACATTAAAAAAAAAAAAAAAAGCAGTAGAGTGGAAAATGGTCAGGTGACAGTTTTTTTATACATAAAATATTTAAAAGACTTATATAAAAGCCTTTCTACTTTTTTTTTCCTTTTTAATCTATATGCATATAATACTTCTGTTTTAATTTTCTTTGTTTTTTGGGACAGGGTCTCACTGTGTAGTTCAGGCTGGCCTTGAGCTCACTTGTAGCCGAGGCTGGTCTTGAACTTGTAGCGATCCTCCTTCCTTTGCCTCCGAGTTCTGGCATTGCAAGCATGAGCCACCATACACAAGTAAACTATGTACCTATAATATTAAAAAAAAAAAATTTAAATATAAGAATAGTTTAAAGTTTAGGTCCTATGCTATAACAGTGCCTAAAACAGTGAGCCTTTAGTGGCGCTTCGTGCACATAGGTACTAATCTTGGTAGGTTCTGTATATCCCTTGTACCGACACTTAACATTGTCTGAGCTGCTTTTCTAGGAGTCGCACAGTGCCAGATCCAGGGAGTAAAGCGAATGAGGATTCACCTTAACGTTGTGGAGAGCCTGCTTTTCCTTTGGATGACATTAGGTGGCAGCATTCGCCATATTTCTTATCACACTGTATAAAGACACAAAAGAGGACTTCCAGAATTGCCTCCAAGAGGGGACATGGTAATACACACCTATAGTCCCAGCACTGGAGATTAATGGAGGAAGATCATTGAATTCAAGACCACCCTGAACTACATAGACTGTCTCAAAAGTGGGGATAGGGCCAGGGAGATAGCTCAGTAGGATAAGCGCCTGCCTCGCAAGTGTAAGGTCCTGAGTTCAATCCCTGATACCACAAAAAAAGGGAGGGAGAGAGGCAAGTTAGAACGGTAGCATGCATGCATGTCTTCAAAGTGGAATGGAGTATTTGAGGGGGTCTTTTACTATAATAAGTTATTACATTTAAATATTCATCAACTATTTCAGTCATCACTGTCTAAATGATTTGGCCCTCACTATTCATTTCACTATGCTTATCCTGCAGTCATTCAGACATCTCTGAGTCTGTAAAGACCAAACAGGATATAATTCACAGTATTTCTTTATTTCGTTACTAAATTTTCTGTACTTTTTTTTCCTGGCAGGTATCCCTTGTATAACTGATTGTGTAATGGCAGAAATTGAAAAATTGGGACAGAAGTATCGAGTGGCCCTAAGGTAGGAAGGAGTTAATCTAAGTTTATTCCATATCAGTATACTGAAGATTCTTTTGTCCTTTCTTCATATCTTTGCTGTCCAGAGATTTCTTTTTTTTTTTTTTTTTTGGCAGAACTGGGCCTTGAACTCAGGCCCTTGTGCTTGCCAGGCAAGTGCTTATTCTACTGAGCCATCTCCCCAGCCCCTGTCTAGAGATTTCTTAACCAGTTATTTTATTTTTTAATATATTTGATACATGGCCTCACTATGCAGCTCAGACTCATAGTGATGCTCCTATTTGCAGCCTCCCCAGCGCTGGGATTACAGGCGTGCACCGCCACGCCCTCACTCATGCTCCTCAGTGCACCCAGGGGCGGGGCGGGGCGGGGCGGGGCGGGGCGGGGCGGCATGTGGTGCTGGAGCTTGAATCCCAGTCACTGTTTGCCTAAGCAGGTGCTTAGTCTGCTGAGCTATCTCACTAGCCCCCATTATTTTAATAAAAATTAAAATCATAATTTAAAAAGTAAATATTTAAAGTTGAAGCTGGAGCTCTTTGAACTAAATTGATTAGCTATATTGGTCTTTTGGGCCTCTTTTAAAGGCTTCTAGATTTTTCAGCTAGGAGCTATGAGTTTGTCATCTAACCATCTCCTTCAGAATTTGAGTTTTAAAAATCTACATTTAAAATTTTGAGTTTAGGGCCAGTGAGCTAGCTCAACAGACTAAGCGCCTTCTTAGGCAAGCACAGGGACCAGGGTTCAATCCACAACACCACGTGCTGCCACCCCACCCCTAGGCATGCTGAGCAAGCCACCAAGACCCAGTGTGATAGCGGACGCCTATAATCCCAGCAATCCCAGTGCTGGGGAGGCTTAAAACAAGAGGATCACTACGAGTCTGATCTGTGTAGTGAGAACCTGTACCAAATACATTAAAAATAAATAACATAAAATTTGAGTTTATGAAGCCAGGTGTAGTGCCAAACAGCTGTAATCTCAGCACTCGGGAGGCTAAGGCAGGAGGATCACTGCAAGTTTGAGGCTCTACTACATCTTTAAGGCCAGCCCGAACTACAAAGTGAGACCTTGCCTCAAAAAAAGATTTTAAGGGGGCTGGGAGATAGCTCAGTAGAATAAGTGCTTGCCTGGCAAGCACAAGGGCCTGAGTTCAATCCCTGGTTCCACAAAAAAAAAAAAAAAAAAAAAAAAGATTTTAAGTTTACTCCAAAAATCAACCTTGAATTTAGAGTTGTTGTACTCCAAAAAGTCTGTGTAAACTACCATCAAGCCTAAAGACCTTTGCAGAGAATTCACAAAACTTCGTAACAGTGCTGAGGCATAGCCTTTATCACTGTGTTGATTTGTCACTGTATCTGCACTAATTGTGAAACTTCTGGTACCTTCGTGTGAGTCAAACCAATAGCCTGTACGAGCCTAGTAGCCATTGTGTTCGTCACTGCTGCTCACTGGCAGTTGCTCCTTTTTAAACCTGAGTCACTTGATGTCCTTGTTGGCTGGGTTTAGTGGTGCACTCTTGTGATCCCAGTACTTGCCTGTAATCCTGTAAGTCAAGGAAGCTGAAGCAGGAGGATCACTGGGAGGCCCCAGCTAGGCTAGAGAGTAAGTTCAAGGCCTGCCTGGATAACATAGCAAGACCCTAACTTAAAGAATACCCTTCATGCAGCAGTAATTTGGACTTTATTCAGTCTTCACCTGCAGGACACATCAGTATCTGATGTCATGAAATGAGAAGTATACACAGAGCTTCCAGAGCACTTCCACCGCACACCAAAACACAGGTTTTGTCAGTGAAACTCATTTGTGTGTCTGTTTGAGCTAGTTCTTTTTGTGTGTGTATATTGTATTTGGGATTGACCATGTGGCCTTTTATTATTGTTGTTTTTATTTTTTTAATGACAGTGACTCGCCTTGGGGCCGGGGAGATGGCTCAGTAGGATAAGCGCTTGACTGGCAAACGCAGGGATCTGAGTTCAATCCCTGGTTCCACCAAAAAAAAAAAAAAAAAGACAGTGACTCACCTTGAACTTACCATATAGCCCAGGCTGGCCTCAAACTCATGGCAATCCCTCAATAAATTGCCCAGGTTGAGCTCAAATTTGTGGTCCTCCTGCCTCAGCTTCCCCGAATACTGGGATTATAGGCATGCCACCATGCCCGGCTGTGGCAAAAACTTATAAATCTACACAACAGTGTTCAAAATAGTTGAAACTGTGGAGCAATAGGAATTCTCATACTCAACTAAAGATATTGATTAGACATCACTTTGGAGAGTAGTCTAGCAATATCCAGTAAGATCCAGGCTGTCTGTATGCCTATAACACTGTCTTTCAACCTGGAGATCAGTCGACAGCTTGTGAGATCAGTTTAATCTCAACCAGTATGTTTATAAAAATGTAATAAAATGGATTATAAATACCATGCATTGGGGGCTGGAGATTTGGCTTAGTGGTAAAATGCTTGCCTAGCAAGCTGGAAGCCCTGGGTTCGGTCCTAGGCACCAAAAACAAAAAACAAAAAAACACCATGCATTATATGACCTAAAAGCCAAGTCTGCTTCCCAGAGCTAACATGCTCTTTTATGGGGGGAGGAGGGGAAGCTGCATAAACCGCATGCATTTCATACTGGGGTCCTGATAAAATTGAAAGGCACAGCAATAGGGTAACCCACATACATGTGCCATAGTAGAGGCAAGTATTAGATTTTTTTTTTAATGTATTTGGTACAAGGTCTCACTACACAGATTGGACTCGTAGTGATCCTCCTGTTTTCAGCCTCCTAAGTGCTGGGAGTACAGGCATGTACCACCACATCCAGTCTCGTTGACCGTCTCATCGTGCCCTCAAGGCGGGGCCACCGTGCCACACCGCACCATGCCAGGGATCGAACCAGGTCCCTGCACCTGCCTAAGCAGGTGCTTTAGTCTGCTGAGCTATCTGGCCAGCCCTAGAATTATTTTACTAAGAGCAAAAAATGGCAGGCAGCATCCCAGCATTTGGGAGGCTGAAAACAGGAGGATCACTATGAGTCTGATCTGTGTAATGAGACCCTGTAGACTCTTTACTAAATACATTTAAAAAGAGGGGCAGATAGCTCAACAGACTAAGCACTTGCTTAGGTAAGCGCAGACGCCAGGGTTTGGTCCCTGGCACCGCATGCCACGTGGGCACCGCCCCCTAGGCGCACTGAGCCGGCAGTAGAGGCCAGGCGCACACACCTGTAATCCCAGCACTAGGGAGGCTGAAAACAGGAGGATCACTACGAGTCTGAGCTGCATGGTGAGACCCTGCACAAAAAAAAAAGAAGAAGAAAATACTGGAAGATTAGGTAGAAGGATCACAAATTTCAACCCACATTAACCAATTTAGCAAGACCCTATCTCAAAAAAAGAAAAAAATAAGGGCAGGGATATAGCTCAGCAGCACAGTCCCTGCCTGGCAAGTGCAAAGTCCTGAGTTCGATCCCTGGTGCCAGGAAAAAAAAAAAGCAACCAGGTATGGTAGTACATGCCTATAATTCTAGCACTTGGGAGGTTGAAGCAGGAGGATTGCCATGAGTTCAAGTCTACCCTAGAATATATGCCAAGACCCTGTCTCAAAAATAAAGAATTAATTAAAATAAAGCAAACCATTACTGCTATTGTCAGTATGTATATATGCAACATTATGTACTTCTTTGTTTTTTGGGGTTTTTTTGTTTTGTTTTGTTTTTTGGCAGAACTGGGAATTGAACTCAGGCCCTTGTGCTTGCCAGGCAAGCGCTTACTCTACTGAGCCATCTCCCCGGCCCTTGTGCTTCTTGTATATAGCAAAATGAATATGTGAGAATGACAAATACCAAACTGAAGATAGTCATGAAGGTATGACAGTAGAGTAGGACTGGAGAAGAGACTTCCTTTTTATTTGTAATGTTCTGTTTCTTCGATAGTTTATCTTTTTTATCCTTCTTTGTCTGCTTGAAACACTTCAACTTAAAAGAGGAGGGAAGAAGCAATTATTTTATTTTTTTAATTTTTTTTTTTTTTTTTTTTTCGGAACCAGGGGTTGAACCCAGGCCCTTGCACTTGCCAGGGAAGCGCCCATTCCACTGAACCATCTCCCCAGCCCTAGCAATTATTTTTTAAATAATAAAAATAAAGAATGGGGCCGGGGAGATGGCTCAGTGAAATAAGCACTTCCCTGGCAAGCACAAGGGTCTGAGTTCAATCCCTGGTTCCACCAAAAAAAAAAAAAAAAAAAAAAAAGAATGGGTTCAATCTCTGGTACATAAAAAAAAATAAATAAATAAATAAAGGATAGAAGGGGAGAAAATGGAGACATCAAGCTTAGCTATGAAGAGCAACAAAACAAACAGGGTGGCAGCGAAAGGGAAATAAAAGTTGTATATTGGGGGATTCTTTTTTTTTCTAAGATAGAAAGGACCATATAGGAGGCCAGGGAGATGGCTCAGTAGAATAAGCGCTTGCCTGGCAAGCACAAGGGCCTGAGTTCAATCCCCAGTTCTGAAAAAAAAAAAAAAAAAAGGACCATATAGTGTGTTGGCTATTTCTGGAAAGACCTAGTAGAGAGGAGGAGATGAGATTCCAGAAATGAAAGGCTTCACAAAAGAGCAGAGGCCCAGAGTGTTGCCTGCCTCACGTCCCAGCTACCGTCCTAGTGGGTCCTCCCCAGCCCACCAGTCTTCCTAGGACAGAGGTGGCTTCCATCACTGTCACCCTTGAAAACTTCTGTAGACGTGTCGTCACCGCAGCCATGAAACCCTTGCTCCATTGGCAACCTTTTTGAGCATATTCGCCCTCCTCTTGACCAGCCCCTTCCTGCCCATTGTGCTCGCTGTGCCCGGGATGCCAACACACCATCCCACCTTGCTTGACACATTCTCTCATATTCATTTTATTTTGTCTCCATGTCATTTTTTTTTCCATGTCATTTTTGTCTAAATACACCACCATACTAAAGTGCTAAACTGTACTGCCACTTAGAATAGTTTTAGGTGCCCAGTACCTGTGTGTCACTTTGTATTTTTGTTCATTTCTGTGACTTGCCCTTATATAATAGAAAGCATACAGCTTGCCGGGTATGGTGACACATGCCTCTAATCCCAGCACTCGAGCAGAGGCAGGAGGATCATTCAAGAACAGCCTTGGCTACAAAGTGAGCTCAAAGCCAGCCTGAACTGCACAGCTAAACCCTGTCTCAAAAAGAAAAGACGAAAAAAAAACACATAGTTCTAGGAATCACAGACTTGAGATCTTTCTTTTTTTCAAGTTTATATGAAATGATATCTTCAAATTATTATGGCAAACTATAAAACATACAGCAAATGAAAAAGTCCTTTTCCAAGTTTACTTTTTCTATTCTCCTATCCCAAGAGTGATAACTGAGAAGGGTTAGTAAATTTTATAAACATATATATGTAAAAATATTTTAATAGACTTTTATTACATAAATGCAAATCTAAAAGACTGTCAGGAAAATTACACTAAAAAGTAAACTATTGAGTCCAGGCATGGTGGCACACACCTGTAATCCCAGCACTGGGGAGGCTGAAAACAGGAGAAGCATTACAAAAAAAAAAGTAATGGCTTCATCTGCATTAAATGACAAATCAGGCACCCCATGACTTCTGGCTCTTCCCAAGTCAAAGTGACCACAAAAGGCACATGTTTGAATCCATGTGGGACATGGAACACAACTAAAGATGCACACAAAACAGGACTTCCACAACTGCTCCAGAAAGCGACAAATATATTTCACTGGCCTATTTGTTTATTCAGCTGTTTAGTAGAGTCTTCATACCTACAACTGTACCTCTTTTTTTTTTTTTTTTTTTAATAGGATAGAGGCACCAAAATGTTTTTAAGAGCCAGCCTGATAGCTCAGTGGACTGAAGAGCCTGCTTAGGCAGAGCACAGTGGCCAGGGTTCCGAAGTGCCAGCCCTGCCCCTGAGGCACACTGAGATGAAGACTGAGCCTGGGTGTGATGGCGCAAGCCTGTAATCCCAGAACTTGGGAAGCTGAAAACAGGAGAATCACTGCTAGTCCAATCTATGTAGTGAAACCCTGTAAACCCTGTCCTAAATACAAAAAAAAAAAAGTTTTTAACTTTTACCTTGTTAATAGATGTTTAGATTATTTCTCATTTTTTACTTTCACAAACTGGTATTGACCATTTTTATGCCTATCTTCTGGAACATTTGTGTAAGGCAGCTTCCTAAAAGTGAGATGTTTAGGTTGAAATTGACTTGGTTCTAATTTTGCCTTTTTTCCTGCTGTGTGGGATTCCACAAATTAACCTTTCTGAACCTGCTTCTTCTGTAAGATGGAAGTGAAGTAATTCAATGTTGTGATGATTAAATGACGTTAGGCACACCGGCTGTCAGAAGCTTGGCCTCCCTCTCCTGTAAGTTGTCATACCAGTTAGGGGATTAGCTTTCAGAGGAGAGGGTACCTGAAAAATCCACAGAAGTCGTACTTTTGTTTTACTGATGGAGACACAGAAATTACCCAGGTGTTCTCACTGTTTTCTTTAATTGACTTGCAGGATCGCCAAGGATCCACGGTTTGAACGCTTACCTTGCGCACATAAAGGGACCTACGCAGACGACTGCTTGGTGCAGAGAGTAACTCAGGTATCATCAGTTTTAAATGCCTAGTTTGAGCTTTAAAAGAAAAGTGAACTCTTGTCTCCTGAATGTTCAAGGTTAGTGACATATCTAGAAATCTAAGTGACCATAAATATATTATTCCTTCATAGAAAGCATAGACATCCTCATTTACTTGAAAAAATGTAATAAAATTGGGGAGAAAACATGATTTCAAATCTTAACACCTGCATGGACTAGGTGTACAATTTGGCACACTTACTGGTTTTTTATTGCACAAATCCATTGAAAGGTTTGAGTTAACGTTGATATAATAATATATCAGATTCCAGGCCGGGTAGATAGCTCAGTAGGTCCTGAGTTCAATCCCCGGTACTGCAAAAAAAAAAAAAAATTCTGGGGCTGGGGAGATAGCTTAATAGAATAAGCATATGCCTGGCAAGCACAAGGGCCTGAGTTCAATCCCTGGTACTGCAAAAAAGAAAAAAAGAATAATATATGTTCAATCTCTGGTACATAAAAAAAAATAAATAAATAAATAAATAAAGACCTTTTCATTAATACATAGTTGTTATATAGAGAGATCATATTCATTGTAAGGAATTAGTTCTTATACATCATGTATATCTTTTTTAAAATTTTATTTCTGTGTGAGTGTGTGTGGCCAGCGCAGCCCACCAGGGGCGGGGCTGGCTGGCATGTGGTGCTGGGGGCTTGAACTGCGGTCCCTGTGCTTTGCGAAGCTTGTTCTAAGTAGGTGCTTTAGACCACTGAGCCATCTCACCAGCCCTATTGTTGCCTAACTTTTTCTTTTTTTTTTTTTTTTTGTGGCGGAACCAGGGATTGAACTCAGGCCCTTATGCTTGCCAGGGAAGCACTTATTCCACTGAGCCATCTCCCCGGCCCTTACATCATGTATATCTTAATTCTTCAGTTCTTCTCCCTGCCCTTCAGCCCCATCCCTTCCCCGTTTGCACAAGTCTTGTTTCCATTTCTCCTTTCCATTGTCCATGAGTGCATATGTTGATAACCATGTTAAACTGTTGTTTGGCAAGAGACATTAAAATAAAATGGGGAGGGGCTGGTGAGATGGCTCAGTGGTCTAAAGCACCTACTTAGAACAAGCTTCGCAAAGCACAGGGACCTCGGTTCAGTCCCCCAGCACCACATGCCAGCCAGCCCCGCCCCCTGGTGGGCTGAGCTGGCCACACACACACACACACAAACACACAAATAAATAAATAAATAAAAATTAAAAAATAAAATGGGGCCAGGGAGATGGTTGAGTGGAATAAGCGCTTCCCTGGCAAGCGCAAGGGTCTGAGTTCAATCCCCAGTTCCACCAAAAAAAAAGTTACAGCTATCCTGTGCACCTCCACAAGTGTTTTTTGGTTACTTATAAGTATCATATGGGTGATATACTTTAAAATACCTTAGTATGGGCAATGTGATACATATGAAAAGAAATACCTGTGTGTAAGAAGTATATGAAATATTTATTACAAAGTTATTTATAATAGAAAAAAATAAAACAACCTAAATGTTCCTCAGAAATTTTTTTTTTTTTTTTTTTTTTTTTTTTTGGGTGGGGAAGCGCTTATTCCACTGAGCCATCTCCCTGGCCCCCTCAGAAATGATTTAACTATGGCATGAGCATTTAAAAAGAATGAATTATATTTTAAAAGGGCACAGGACTTATACATTCTCCAAAGAAAATTACTCAAATGGCCCAAAGGCAGATGGATAGACGGTAACCATCACTAACCATTAGAGCGACGCCCTAATCACAATGAGCAGCCCTTTGCTGGAGGCCAGGCTGGGCCACATGGCGAGTCCTGCGGAGGCTGAGGCAGGAGAGACGTTGCAAGTTTGAGACCAGCCTGGGCTACAAAGCTCAAGGCCAGAGTGAACTGCATAGCAAGACCTTGTCTCAAAAAGACAAAATAATAAATAAATAAAAAGATGACAAGGATTTGTACAACTTTGAACCCTTGTCCACTGTTAGGACTGTGAAGTGATATAACTACTGCACTGCAGGAAACAGTATGCCTGCTCCTCAAAAGTCAAATTATTAATGCTTCTAGCAGTTACACTTCTGGGTATCCAAAAGAATATAAAACAATTTATTTTATTTTATTTATTTTTACGGTACCAGGGATTGAACTCAGCACCCTGTGCTTGCCCGGCAAGTGCTTATTCTACTGAGCTATCTCCCCAGTCCCCTAAAACAGAATTTAAAGTTTTTTTCATTTTTATTTCTTGAGACAAGGTCTCACTACGTAGACCACGCTAGCCTCGAACTGGCTATATATCCCAGGCTGCTCTTGAGTTCAGTGTCCTCCTGCCTCAGCCTCCCAAGAAATGAGATACAGACACGTGCTACCTACCATACCCATCCAGAGCAGGGGCTGGATGCCTGCTAGCTCTCTTCACGGCTCCTTTCCACCTAGGTCCACAGATGGCCCTCCTCCATCTACGCTCCTCAATCTGCATCAGTGCACTTAATGTCCTATAGTGTAACTCTTGTCTCAAATTCTTACCTTCTCCAGCTAGGCTGTGAGCTCTTTGATACCAGAGACTGCTTTCTTTATTCTCAGTTTTCCTAGTTCTTACTTGGGTTTTAGCAGAGCACTATCTCATAGAACCACATTTAATTTAAAATTTTAAATTAAATTTAAATTTTAAATTATAGGCACAAACCTATAATCCCAGTACTTGGGAGATTGAGGCAAGAGGATCACCATGAGTTTGAGGCCAGCCTGGGCTACATGGTGCTTTCAAAGTTAGCCCAAATTATATAACAAAACTATTTCAAACACCAAACCAATTTTTTTTTCTATTAACCACAGGGTTTTTTGTTTCGGTTTTTTGTTTGTTTTGTTTTTTAATTTGGTACAGGGTCTCGCTATGCAGCTCAGACTCTGATCCTCCCGTCTCAGCCTCCCCCTTGCTGGGATTACCAGTGTGCACCACCACGCTCGGTAACCACAATTTAAAAAGTAAAGAGTGGGGCTGGTGAGATGGCTCAGTGGTCTAAAGCACCTACTTAGAACAAGCTTAGCAAAAGCACAGGGACCGCGGTTCAGTCCCCCAG